GGTGTATGAAACACAACTCACACATTAAACACTCTTAAACCAAGCAGCATTGTGATGGTCAACGTGGTGAATCCACAACGTTACCAGCTTCAACCCGCTGCAAAATCTGCGCGCTGAAATCTTTCACCCTCATGCAAAATTCCCAATCCCACTTCTGCCCTCTCTGCAACTGCGCTTTATAAACAAAGGCAAAAATAAGTCTTAAAAACAAGCCCCATGAAAAATTGCCAAGCAACAGTAAATGTGACTGCACCTTTAAGCAACTGCATGTGGTATTGTGCATTTTTGCGACTTTGGAACCACTATAAGTGGTAAATATATCATTGTGGATAGCTGTACACATGCATTTGTTGCTGCAGTAAAGCAATTTGCCCTTTTCGTGTAATTTTGTACCTGCCCACCAAACTTACAGACTCCCAGAACAGACGTTTAAAGAGGAATGTGGAAAAGAAACAGGAGTCATTCACTTTTAAAAGTTTTGAAACTGATAGTGTATTTCAAAGTAATACATATATATATATATATATATATATACAGTTAACTTATACTGAACTCATACAGTTGCTTCAATACATTCATTTTTATTTTATTAGACAAAACAATCATTTGAAGGTTAGTCTCTGTTTCAGACCACTCAAAATCTGCAATAAGAATTTTTTTTTTTTGTCATTGACAGGGACCTGCATGGCTCTCAAAGCTCAGCGCTGACCTGTAACTCCAGCTCCACTGAGCCTCTGTCATCTGTCGCTATTCTTATCGGACTGAGCAATGACCAACTATATTATTCTAACTGGGCTGAAACCTAAGCTAACTCCAAGACGACTTCCTCAACCTCCCTGGAGGCTCACAGCAAGTTCATTTCTGACCTCTTCATAGTGAGTTAAGATAACATGCAGACAACACATCCTCAACAAAAGAAAGAAAAACGTCAATTGTAAGAGAAAGAAAAGCACATTTTTATCAGTCGGAGAGTTTATGACTGCTTGCAAAGGGATTCACGTTGCTACTACAAGCATTTCCTCTTATTTTAACATATGCAAATGATATCTGTCGCTTAGTGGAGGGCCGAAAGGTGTTGTACCAAAATTCTCTGCGGGGACAAACCTGAGCCCTCTTTTTCTCTTATACTAAACATTTATCTCTTTTACATCCACTCGCCAAAACCATCCCAGTGACCAGACTTTATCATGTGCGCTGAATTATTCAAAGCTCACGCTCAATTATTTATCAGTCTGGTATATTTGGATCGTTTGTTAAGAGTCTGCTGGATGGAATAGTGGGCCATCCATGAACACTATGCAGAATATACAAGTCCATAGCTCTTTAGACCAACATTGTCCACGAAATTGTCCATGAAAGCAGGCAAGCATATAATCTGCTGACACATGACTTTGTAGAAAGCTCTGCCATCATTTACAAAGTGATAGCTTTAGCTCCCAAAAAGAGTGTAGTACGCTCAACTCAATCTATTCTGCAGATTTTTCCCAAATTGCATCTGCAGGCAAACAGAGTGTGTAATATTCTCGATTTTGGCAGCAAGTCACACTGAACTGTGACAGTGCTAATCCATTAGCTATAATGCAAGTTTTCACCTCTTCGATGCAAGTGTCCATGTGTGATGAATCCATCAATGGAGTCCTCATAAATAAGTAAAGCTAGTTTATTAGAAAATGTGCCTTGATGAAACTAACGGAATGAATGCTGCTAAAGATCCCCAGTTAGAGGCCCGTTGTGAGTCTTACGCGGTAGCAGTAAACGGTTTCTCTCATACTGTCCACATATTTACAGAGCAGAAATCTCTTGTTATAGGTTCCTGTTCTCTCTGGCCTCCCCGAGGACTGAGTATGTCCACAAAAGAGAAGGATTCCTTAGGTCAACAAGGTCTCTCTGCTCTCCACAGCCAATTACTTCCTGTAAATGTCAGTGCAAAGTAGAAGACCACTGAATACTGATAAGGCCACATGCACAGTTATGAAATTCCCTCACTGTAAATGCATAACACACATATATTAGTCTTACTTCTTACTTATACTTATTATGTTAACTTTGGTATTACAAGTCAAAAGTTTTGTAGAAATGTTGTTTTCAGTTCACGCCCTAAAGTCTGGATGTACAGCATATTCTCTCTCCATGCATTTATACACAATTTTAGAATGGCATACTGCTTAATACTTCTGGTATATAAAAACATTGAGTAGTTTCAGTGTTATTATTACCTATACTGTAAGAAAAATTTCTGTATAAAAATAAATACTTATCCTTTAACCCTAAAACACAACGCAATGAAATTCTAAATACATGTAAAACACATGTGAAAACTCAATACAGAAAAGTTCCATCATATTAAAACAGTACATTGTGCCTTATTTTTACATACATTTGGGTAAAACTAAATTTATTAAATCTTTTTGGGTAAATAAAGCTGAAATAAAAAAATAGAAATATTAGTTTAAAAACTTAATTAAAAAATCCTACTAACTGAAGGTTTGGCCACTAACTGAAATAAGTTTAAGTTGAAGAATTAAAATGACTGAAACTAAAAACTGAAATTAAAATAAATGAATTTAAATTAAATTAAGCTAATAAAAATTATAAATAATAAAATACATAACAAAATTCATAAAACTTAAAAAAATCATAAAACTAAACTTAAAATGAAAACTGAAAATATAAAAATAAAACCTCATTTAAAAAAAGATTATAATAGTATATAAATAATACATTCTTAAATCATCTTGTCTGTGAAGGACACGTGATGCATTAGATTTCAGTCAAAATGCAGTATCTTAAATGTTTAGAAGACCCGTCGCATCAGGATCTTTGCCCTAAAAATACTGTCTAGCTAGGCAGCTCAGTAGTTTGTAGGCAGTAAGTTAATATTCCAGTCGTTCACTACGACTGTTTTCGTGGACTCAACAGGGTTATGATTCATGTCCCTACATTGAAAGGCTGGACAAAAGGCCTGACGATTTAACTTATTGCACCAAACACAACACCCTAACCCCATGGCCCTTCTGCGGGCATTTCTACTCACTCACCGTAATTATTTCACTTATCATTTCAAAAGACTGCTTCTGGCCTCCATCGCCATTCATACCCCAACAGGGAACGAGCCGACCGCCATTAACTGCTGTGATTCAGCCTCCGATTCATTTAAAACTCCATTTAAAAAGCAGTGAGTGGAATTCTGAAGAACCGATAGTGACTAGAAAAAAAGAGAAAGCTTTTCAATGCACAAAACTCTCTCACTAAAACCATTATGCTGCCTAACCAGCATGCATTTCTCCAAACATCCTTTAAAGACCACCATTTTAAAGACTATTTTGCTTATTAAAAGCTTTTTAAGTGCCTTGCACTGGTAAATAACGGTGAAATGATTGAGAAAAAACATGTGGGTTCAGTGGCTTGTGAACTGTGCAACTGTGTGAGAAAACTTATAAACTGCACTGAGAACCCAAACTTTATAAACTGAAAAAAGTTTTGCTTTGCTTTGCTTTGCTTTGCCTTGCTTTCCACAACAGGGAAAAAGCCAACTGCCATTAACTGCTGTGATTCAGCCTCAGATTCATTTAAAACTCCATTTAAAAAGCAGTGAGTGGAATTCTGAAGAACCGATAGTGACCAGAAAAAAAGAGAAAGCTTTTCAATGCACAAAACTCTCTCACTAAAACCATTATGCTGCCTAACCAGCATGCATTTCTCCAAACATCCTTTAAAGACCACCATTTTAAAGACTATTTTGCTTATTAAAAGCTTTTTAAGTGCCTTGCACTGGTAAATAACGGTGAAATGATTGAGAAAAAACATGTGGGTTCAGTGGCTTGTGAACTGTGCAACTGTGTGAGAAAACTTATAAACTGCACTGAGAACCCAAACTTTATAAACTGAAAAAAGTTTTGCTTTGCTTTGCTTTGCTTTGCCTTGCTTTGCTTTGCCTTGCTTTGCTTTGCCTTGTCTTGTCTTGCTTTGCTTTTTGTTCCTCCATGGAGTTACAGCACTTTGGACTTTTGATTTAAGCAAGAAGTCAAGAGACAACCATTAGTTTGTACAAGAGAGAGAACCAAAAGCTCACTAGTCACCTTCAGGAAAATACACTAGTGACCTCTTGTGGCTATACTGAGCCATGCAAAGACCAATACCAGACCCTAAAACCCAGATCAAGAGCAAGACAGGAGCCCAAAGCTCAGGCCTAGACCTCCCAAAGTCTGAAGACAATTCAAGACCCCAAAATTAAGATCCAAGGACCAGACTGTCAATTTTAACTAAATCATTCAAAAAATATAAAGAAACACCAGTTTTAAAACACAAAGTATGAGCTCTATACCCAGACCAGGATCACACTCAAATGGTCTGGACAGGTTTTAAGACTCAGATCACAACAGCAAGTGGATCTACATGAATCTGTTTACTATATAGTTTAATAGACTATTTTCTTTCTGCATGTGTAATTATTGTGGAGCCATTTAATGAACCTTTCTATAAATAGTCATTTATTTCAGTGTTTTAACTCAAAGTCCCAGACAAGATTTGTTGTATTCAAGCACAGAATTATAAAACACAACTAAAATAATAAAATATTTTATGACTCAAGACTATATAGTATATGTCTAACTGAGCCTTCAAAAGCAAGGCATATGATTCAGATTCCTAGAACACAATAGTGTTTTTTTATTTTTTATTAATACTTTTATTCAGCAAGGACATATTAAATTGATAGTAGTGTGACAGTAAAGCCTTTTACATTGTTACAAAAAAAAACTATTTCAGATAAATGCTGCTCTCAAACTGTTTTCAACATTGATAATAATAAGAATGATTTCTGAAGGATCATGTGACACTGAAGACTGGAGTAATGATGCTGACAATTCAGCTTTACATCACAGGAATAAATTACATTTAAAAAATATATATTTAAATAACAAAACAGTTACTTTAAACTGTAACAATATTTCACAAGATGTTTTACTGTATTTTACCATTATCAAATAAATGCAGCCTTGTTGAGCATAAGAGACTTTCAAAAACATTAAAAAATCTTACATACTTCATTTTAAATGGTGCAAATGCAAACATATAAGGAACCAAGTGAAGTTCTTAAGTGTAATATTTACAGTATAAATATCTCTTTCCGAGTTAATATTCTGTCATCTCTTGGCTTCTTTCTCTCTCCATTACTAGAACCTCAAGTTCATTAAAACACTACATCTATATAAACCGCCACTTATCTCAGTCCATCCTGGAATTCTGTTTGCATCCTTCATCTGACGACCTGTTTCCGCTGTAGTCCACAGTAAAGCTCACTCAGAGTCCATTCTTAGCTCATGGCTCTTCAGTGCAGACAGCAACCAGACCTGTCTGTCTCTACCATATCTCTCTTATGCATTCAATAACCATGTGAACTAATGAGAATTTGAAACTAATGTCTGATTACATTTTCTTCTCCTCAGAGACAATAAAAACATTTAATTTATAAGCCTGTGTACTTGGTCAACATTTTATTTATTCGTCAAATGGTGCTTTGGATCAATTAGCCTTTCATCAATGCTCAGTTATAAACTATACAAAACTTTAGCAGTTCATTTCCTCTGGACATCTTAATAATTATTATACTAGTGGTCAAAGTGCAGTTTTCCACTTAGATTTCTTCTGCTTTCGACTGCACACCACATACACACACACACACACACACACACACACACACACATTACTCAGCAATACCATCTACATTCATTTAATAGATGCCGTGCATATATCAAGACAGACATCCATGCAACATGTGTACCGGTCTTCTATTAAAAGTGAACATACAGTGCAACCAGTCAAAATTTAATAATGTCAGTCTTTCATTATTTCCTTCAGTCCATCAGGCTCCATTCGAATTGAGCGTATATTTCAAGCACACGGGGTTAACAGACTGAGCATGCCCAGATGGGGGGCATGTAAGCTGGGGCGGGGCCTGCGAGGTAACTTGGAGATTCAGATTCATTTGGCAGATTTTTGAGCTTTTTGGGCAGATTTAGTCACTTTCCCGCTGCCGCCAATCTTCTTGTCCACGCTTTTGATGACACCGACTGCAACAGTCTGTCTCATATCTCTGACAGCAAACCGACCTGGGAAAACACATTAATACACATTTATTTTAATATGAAAATTGCTTGATGAAAGGACTAGTTTCTTTTTCTGTTGTGTTTGTGGGAACTGACTGAAGACTTCAACCCAACTACAGTCATCTGTCAGGATTGTGCCTAACAAAAACAAGATTTTCTTGGTGAACACTAATTTTAATAGAGAGTTTAGGCGAGAAATAATGAGAACAAGATGCAATAAAAATGATAAGTCGCAGTGAAACAGCAGGTCAAAAGTAATGAGAGACGGTATAATGAAACAGGCCTAATAATCAGTTTTATTGGAGTTGCATTGTCAAAGGAAAGGTAATCCAGAGAGAGAAACCTGAAAATCATGAGCTCATGTTTCAAAAGGATGATGTGGAGGCTCACATCACTGATGAATCAGACCTTTAACCTGCCAACGACTGCAGTGAGTCTCATTACTCATGAGACCGAGCGACCAACAGTGAGTTGTAAGCCTGAGACGTCAATTCTGAATAAGTATGGCAATATTGTAATTTGAGAAGAACGTACATGAATCATTGTGCCTTTTTTAAAGCCTCTTATATGGGGATTGTTTTACAGGGCAGGAAAAAAACTCATTAGCAGACTAATTAGCTATTAATATTTTCCACCCCATCTATGTTACCATGAATAAGCTGCCAAAAGAAATATTCATATTGTTAGAAATGATGAAAAAACAATATAATGAACAAACAAATAAGTAAATAGATAAATAACATTTTAAAAAGCAACGCAAAACAAAACAAAAAGGAAAACAAAATAAAACAAAACATAAAATAATAAAGCAAAGCCAAACAAAATAAAAGAAAAGAAAGCAAAACTTAAAAGAAAAGCAAAACAAAACAAAAGAAAGCAAAAAAAAAAGGAAAAACAAAACAAACAGTAAAAGAAAACAAAACAGAGCCAAGCAAACTAAAATACAAATAAATAAAAAAATAATAATAAATTAATTAATTAAAAAAACTGGCAAATTGATTCAGAAGCATTTACTGTAAGGTTGGGAAGCGGACACATACCCAGTGGAGGGTACTGAGAGAAGCTCTCCACGCACATTGGTTTTCCTGGGATCATGTCCACAATGGCGGCATCTCCTGACTTCAGGCTTTTGGGGTTGTCTTCCAGCTTCTTGCCTGAACGGCGATCAATCTTCTCCTTAAGCTCAGCAAATTTACAGGCAATGTGAGCTGTGTGGCAGTCAATGACAGGAGAGTACCCTGCACTGATCTGTCCTGGGTGATTCAAAATGATGACCTGATAAAAAGAGAGAGAAAGAATAGAAATCCAGATAGAAACAAAGAAAGATATCAAGACAAACAAACAAGTTGGCAAAGACTGTTGTCCCACCTGTGCTGTAAACCCTGATGCTTGCTGAGGCGGGTCTGACTTACTGTCCCCACACACATTACCTCTTCTTATGTCTTTTACAGACACATTCTTTACATTAAAGCCCACGTTGTCTCCCGGCATAGCTTCACTCAGAGACTCGTGATGCATCTCCACCGACTTCACCTCTGTAGTGATGTTGACTGGGGCAAAGGTCACCACCATACTGGGCCGCAGTATACCCGTCTCCACTCTGCCCACCGGCACGGTCCCTATACCTGAGGAGAAAGACATGGCATCTCTGAATACGCATGTTCTGTACACATAGTGATGTAGTAGCTTTCTGAACTCGAAATATAACTACAAACTGATCTTAAAAATACCATCACCCCATAAAATGTGCATGATTTGAGTGGGTTAATCCCACCTCCAATCTTGTAGACATCTTGTAGGGGCAGACGTAAGGGTTTGTCAGTGGGGCGTGTTGGAGGCATGATGGTATCGAGAGCTTCCAGTAGAGTAATGCCACTGGCATGCTGCTCCTTCCTGTTCAGCTTCCAGCCTTTAAACCACGGCATCTGCACAGCACAAATGAGATGATTTTATTAATCAAATCACTAGCATTCTGCCAGTTTAATTGGAAACTGCCAAACGGTATGAAGTCATTGCTGAACTGAACACAAACACGCCATGAAGACTCACATTAGAAGACTGTTCTAGCATGTTGTCACCATGCCAACCTGAAATTGGGACGAAGGGCACCGAGGCAGGGCTATAACCAATCTTTTTGATGTAGGCGCTCACTTCTTTAACAATCTCATCATAGCGTTTCTCGCTGTAGGATGGCTCCGTAGAGTCCATCTTGTTGACAGCTACAATCAGCTGCTTGACGCCCAGCGTGTAGGCCAGCAGGGCGTGCTCCCTTGTTTGCCCATTTTTAGAGATGCCCGCCTCAAATTCACCCACTCCAGCTGCCACAGTTAGAACAGCACAATCCGCCTGGGAGAGAAAGAATGTGAGCCACATTGTTTAAAGGTAAAGATACTAAAATTCATCTACAGGCATTAGGGATCCTCTCACCAAGCATCGATATGTCACCAGTTCTCGTAAATAGCTGTAACTGAGCTAGTACTGTCTTACCTGAGACGTCCCAGTGATCATGTTCTTGATGAAGTCTCTGTGTCCTGGAGCATCTATTATAGTTATGTAGTACTTGGTTGTCTCAAACTTCCAGAGTGAGATGTCTATGGTAATTCCTCTCTCCCTCTCGGCCTTCAGCTTGTCCAGAACCCAGGCGTACTTAAAGGAACCTTTTCCCATCTGCCAAAACAAAAGTATGTGAGCATACAGGGGAAAAATGCCTTCACTGAGGAAAAAAATAAGTTGTGTGGACACACAAAAGCAATCATCTTAAAAGATTATGACAGTACATGTATTATTTGAGCAGAAACCAACACCTATATTGCAATGACTTACCAAGGGTAATGACTCTCTGCTTTAGTAGGGTTAACTCTGCATTGCAGTGCCAAATGTTTAAAGTGCAAATACAGTGTTAAAAAAACTTGTCAACCCTGACCTCAGAATTTAGAAGGTTTTAGGTTCAAAACATGCAAGGGTTCATACATTATGCCTCAACATTTTGCCCTTGAGCTTGGCACTTGCTCCAGAGAACTATCCCTTCAATAAATCAAGTAACAATTTTCACAATGGAAGGTTGTAGGTTTAAATCCAGTAAGGGATACATTATGCCTCAATATTGTGCCATTCAGTTAAATCACTTACCCCAGCTGATTGTCTTTGTAATAAATATCTTAACAATTTTCACAGATGGAAGGTTGCGAGTTCATATCCCACAGAGGTCTGTACACTATGCCTCAACATTGTGCCATTGAGTTAAATCACTTACCCCAGCTGACTGTCTTTGTAATAAATCTCTTAACAATCTTCACAATTGCAAGGTTGTAGGTTCAAGTCGAATACCTTGTTGTTTTATCCTTAATCAAACACACCTGCCTGTCATTTTCTAGCAATCCTGAAGATTTTTCTGGTTTGTTTAATTAGGATTGGAGCCAAACTCTGTGGGACAATGGCTGTCCAAGACCGGAGTTGCCCATCCCTGTTGTAGGTAAAAACCCCTGCTGAGAGCAATAATATTCAGACAAGCTTACTAATGTACCTAATCTTTAGACCTGTAGACCTATAACAAAACTCCAACAGGCTTCTTTGTGCACACAGTGTTTTACTACATATATCTTGCTGCTTGAAGAACAAGTTACCCTCAAAGACAGAGGTGAGGTGTCAGACCCACTGGGTTTGCACCCATTTACTCAGGTCTCATTCTCTCAGTCTAATGTGCATCAAGATGACAAAAGTGCAGGGCCTGACTAATGGTTCTGCCTGCTCCGGAAATCCTTTTATCTTTTCCTTTCATCTCCAATGGCATATTCCAAAGAGTAAATGCCTCAATGTAATTACACAGCAATTCTCCCTCTGCTCTGCAGTGCACGAGAGGAGAGGAAGGTATAGTGTGATGCATGATGAGACACTTACATAATTACCCTATACAGTAAGTGGACTGGAGTTACCCATCATTCAGCACAGACCACAATTCTCACAACGCATTAGGGATTTGGCTAAGCCGATGAGGTCACTTAAATTTAAATGGAAGGTGCAACTGTACTCATTTATTATGAATCTGGCTTCAAACTCAGCAATTCGACTCCACTTGAACACCAAAGCTAAATTCCTATGATTTTTTTTTTTTTTTTTGAGATCCTGTTCACCTACCTCAGCAGCCTCTTTTTCAAACTTCTCAATGGTTCTTTTATCAATTCCTCCACATTTATAGATGAGATGGCCAGTGGTGGTGGATTTCCCCGAATCAACATGGCCAATGACCACAATGTTGATGTGGATCTTCTCTTTCCCCATGATGGCACAGGGCAGGAAGACAGGATGGGAATGGATGGAGCTTTCTTCTGTCTACAGCTGTCGCAGACAAAGAACATTTGAACACATAGACACAACTTTCATCCTAAATGTTTCATTATGATGTTTACTGATCATATTTCAGTAAACAGTCTTCAGAGCACAGCAGAACTAAGCTATTCAAGGTCATTTCTAAACAACATAAAATGGGAGATAAATATTTCAGATAAAATATACTACATAATTAAATAACAATTATAAAACATTATATATGAAATATTATTTGAAATGTCTGAACATTTGTCATGAACAGTACATAAAAAAGATAACTATTTGATCTCATTAATCATTTTACCGGTTTGGTAAACATTGGTAAACATATTACCAGTATATAACAAAAGGCTTGCAAAATTACAATCTTATTTTTTTTATAATTACAATTTCAAATTATAATTAAAAAAACATTATTATTATTAAAAATCATGCAAATAAATGTTCAAAACTAATTTCTTACAAGTTTACATATCCCTTGCAGGATCTGTAAGATAACTATGGCTTTCTTCTTTTTTTCTTTTCTTTTTATTTAGCACTACCTGACAAAGTTGCATAATATATTTGAATACATCCCACAAGACAAAATTATAAATTACACAAATCATCCTGTCAAACAGCACCCCTTGACATACCCTTGGATTTTTAGATATATATTAGACTCAAATGTGCAGAATATGCAAAGAACTTCCAGGACCTGGAGGCTTTTTGTCAAAAACAGTGGGTAGCTTCACTGTTCGGGACAAACCAGGGGCTCATGCACAACTATCACAAAAGCTTACGAACAGTATTTGATGCAGGAGGGGAAAAAAACAGATGAAATTAAGATAGAAGGGCATTTAAAATTTTGAACAGGATGTGTAAATTCTGCTATTAATTTATATATTAAATAACAAGCAATATTTTGTTGAATAGCTTCATCAGGGCAGTACTAAATAAAAACACAATAAATAAATAAAAAGCTGTTGACCGTTATGAGTATAGTTAAAGTCTAACAGCAGGAGAATGATTGTGGCCTCTTACCTGCAGCTGACAGCCGGACCCTGTTCTCCCCTCAGCAAACAGACACTCTTGATTCTGTAAAGGTGGCAGCACAGTCCAAGTCTGTGTGCGTAATGAACTCACCCCACTTTGATACAGCAATGCGGCACTCAAAGTGGGGGGGAGGCTGGTGGTGAGGGACTGCAGTGAGACGAGCTGAGAGGAAGAGTACGAGAGATGAAGGAGGAACACACTGGAATAGAGCAGCGTTCAGTGACTCAGCATCTTATCCTCAATTAACTCCTACTGGATAAAAATCTAACTGGTTCCCTGTGTGGGTCTGAAATATGACGCCTACAGGTTCCCAATATACATTTTTTTTTGTATTATTATTGAGAATGTTTATTACCAGGTTATTCTAGAGGTAACTATTTCTATGTCTTTAGTTAGATGCAATTTTAGTACATCTGAAATTGTATACATATATTATAGGGGTCTGATCAGTTGTTTGGTCTGTTCTTTGAAAAATCATCAATAAATTATATTTTGAAATTATACTTCTGCTGATTTCATACAGATACTTTTATTTATTGTTGATTTTGCAGAACATATCAGAAAAACTTGTGATTTGGTCTCCGATCTCTCTCAGACTTCATTTTTTTGCCACTTACATAGGCCAAAAGACTTCTTTAATAGTTGTAGTATCTACAAAAAGCGCTAGACCAACTAAAGAATCTTAAAACGATCTCATTCTGTATTAACAATACACTCTCACAAATAAAGGTACTTTAAAAAAAACATTTTACACTGCATAGGGATCTCAAGTTGACTGTAAAGTTCCTTGGGGAAAAAAAGTTCTTAATTTGAAGATCTACAGCATACAATGTGTGTGTGTATATACAACATTATAATTACCAGAGGGCCTGAAGACTTTTTAAAGTTTTTTATGCTCACCAAGGCTATTTTAATTATTTTAATATATTTTAAAAAGTCATTTATTCCTGTTACGGAAAAGCCAAATTTTCATCAGCCATTACTCCAGTCTTCAAAAAATATCTGACCAGAATCTTTTGAACAGTACCGTAAGTATAATTTGCTGACAGAGGAAAAGAAGTGCCAGTGTTCTTTGATGCACTGCTAGATATTTGGTTTCTAAAGTGGCACAAAAAAAAATTCTCCTGTGGCATCCTAGGAAGTTAAACCATTTTAAATCCCTTTTTGAATCTTTTATGTTTACCAGAATAGACCAGGGAATGATCAAAGGGAGGCTAACATATTAAATATTGTTCGTTGCCAGATTAGGAATTAAGAAGTCAAATCAGACCAACATGGCTCACTATCATTTTTTTTAATCAGGGACATACTCCTGATGTGTTTAACACATATTCGGTCAAAAATTTCAAACAAGCATGACTCAGAAACAGTGCAAATACCACCACTATTTCATAAGCATTTGATCAATGACCATCTAATTGGCTAACACAATCAATTTATTTCATACAGTTAATAACATGTCTAGCTCAGTTTATTTGCAGTGTAAGTCCTAATAAATCACACAACAAACTAGTTGATGCTCTGGTCCGTCTCAAGAACTCTGACAAAAATAAAATAAAGCTACCACTTAAAATTCCCACAAATTAAAAAAAAAAAATTCTGTTTCCAAACTCAGCAGAGGAAAGCTTTTTAGTTTATCATACTTTCCCCATCAGTCTAGTCTGATCTTACACAACCACCAGACTTTCCTTTGTCTATATTTCCACCGTCTGTCTGTGAAGAGCTCAGAACGCTTAAAAGCACAGGAACGTCTCTCGCAGTGAACCTCTGGACTGCAGATAACGCACACGAACATCACATCCCCTGCACGCCATGTCATTTCACTTTTACACTGGCTCTAGCGCGACCAATATTAGCTACACCTTTCTCAGTCAGTTCTTTTTTAATGTCTGATGTCCCAAGTCGTCCTGCTGCAAGCTGCGGCTACGTCCTGCGGCGCTTGGCTCCTCCGGGGCTGGAGGGGCTGCTGGAGTTCATCACCTTCTCCACAGCTCGGCTTCTCTTCCTCTTTTCCCCGGCTGATTCTTTCGGCCCGCTGCTCGTCTCACCTGAGCCCCCCCTCTCTGCCCGCTCTTTCTCTTTCTCGCGCCCGCTGCCCGACCTCTCCGACATCTTCACGGAGGAATTGCTGCCTGACGAAGGGAAAAGGGAAGGGGGAAATGGGGAAAAAAGGGTGGGATTATGGGAACACAAAGAACAAAACAGATTAAAACCACTATTAAAAAAAAAAACGTATTTCCACCAAAATTTAATATATAAATATAAAATATTAAAAAGTGGTGTGTAATGTCTGCACTAAATGAAGCCAGACATTAGCTTAACCAATTGTCAAAGTTAGTGGCGGAATGACCTTTTTGTCCAAACAATGGTAGATAGATAAGAGAAGAAAAATTTAGCAGAAAAAAGCATTAACTTTGCAATTCAGTTTGGTGATGTTAGTGGCACAGAAACTACACACTTCACCTGTAACTGCATGTCTATAAAATTGCCATTTATAGTTAACTTTTTTTTCTAAAACTTATCGTCTTAATTAGTGCTGAAAGAAAGGTCAACCACATTTACATAACCAGCTTTACATAACGTGTTTTGACATGACAGCATAATTTGCCTTCTTAAAGGGGTCATATGATGCGATTTCAATTTTTCCTTTCTCTTCTTAAAGGTGATGCGATTTCAATTTTTCCTTTCTCTTTGGAGTGTTACAAGCTCTTGGTGCATAAAGAATAAAGAAGAAGTTGCAAAGACTAAAGTCTCAAATCCAAAGAGATATTCTTTATAAAATTTAAGAGTCAAAAACACTAACACTAGCTTTCTATTTTTTCTATTCTATCTACTTGCTTTTCTTTCTGTGTGTATAATATATATATATATATATATATATATAGGTGCATCTCAATAAATTAGAATGTCGTGGAAAAGTTCATTTATTTCAGTAATTCAACTC